TAAACAAATGTTGTTGTATTCCTATTTTATTGTAGTGGTGGGGACTCTGGCCACTAGGGAACAGATCTGGGTTGGGCCGTGATGACTATAGTGCTCAACGATTGTAAGGAAAAGACCTTGGTTAGGCTAGGTGACCTTCAATCGGATCATCTTCGAGAAAAGGCCAGGGTTGCCGCCCTGAGGATGACTCTTAGTTCGGTATTGGATCCAACAAGGCTTATAGCCTTGAGAACTGTGTGACATGTTACTTGTTATTTCTTGGTACCCAGAAAATTATTGGTATTCATGTTGTAATCTGTTTTAAGTGGAAAGTGTCATTTATCATGTTCTTGAGAGACATGAGTATTTTAACTGTTAAACTGTGGAACTTTTTCTTTTTAAACAGATTGTCTTTACCAAACTGTATGTCAATCTAGTTTCTGTGATATATATCTTATTTTGAAATTGATCCCTGTTTTCAAAACTGTATATACTATCCATGTTGCTACTCACTGAGCTATCAGCTAACTTAGTTGTTTACCATTTCTAGGTGCTAGAATGACTTAGAGTGGACTCATGGCGTAGCGGGGACTCAATTGCATAGACGTTTAGGACATTGATTTATTTTGTTTTAGATTGTTATGTCAAGTTTGTGCATATTTACTTTTATTTTTATTGAGGTTCATTTAGGATTATTTTGATATGTGGGCTATTTTTGGATGATATTGTTTATGGTTGGTTTTGCCGTTTATACTTGTGGCATGTCACTGGATTGAGTTTTGATTATTTATTAATGGACTATTTTATAGTTATTCAATGTGTTTATGGATTCGTGTTTAGGCTTACGTGTGCCTTGGGCTAAGGCCCTGTGGGCCACGGCCGATCATACCCGGGTTTGGGGTGTGATAGTGTCTGTCTTCCCAATGAATAGATTTTTAGGTATAAATATAAGTGTTTTGTTTGGAGAAAAATCAAGAACTTTGAGAGAAAAAATTTCTGTGCACAGAAATCTTGATTGTACTTTCACTCTGCTCTTTCACTTTTAGATCTAAGTGTTGTCTTTGTTTTTACACTTTCATATCTACTCTTTGTGAGAGAATCATTATAAAAGAGGTTGAATTACCTCTTATCTTTATTGATTATTTTATGAGAGGATTTTGTAACGGTGGGGCATCTATTGTTGAGTGAGGCTCAACGGATAAGAGTAAGACTTGTGTAAAATCCACAAGTTTGGTCAAGCTTTGGTGGTGTATTGATTCATTTTAATAGTGAAGAAATTCTTGAGGAGGATTCTTGAGGAGTGGACGTAGGTCCGGTGTGCCAAACCACTATAAATCGCTATGTTTGATTTTTTTTCGTTATCGCTTTTATTTTTATATTAATTATTATTCTTCTATTTTTTATTTGTTAAATTCGAATATTTTGGCTATTATATTTAATATTATGAAATTATTTTTAATAACCCAATTCACCCTCCTTTTGGTTTGCTTACCAGGAATAACAGTTGGTATCAGAGTAAGGACTCTAGTATTTTTTACTGAACCGTCTTAGAATAGATTATGGAACTCCTAGTTATTCATTACCTGAGGGGCAAGCATCTAATAGATCACCATTGTTTAGCTTTGCAAACTTTAGTTATTGGAAAACCAAGATGACCATACACATACAATCTAACAATTATAATGCTGGAAAAATCATTTGCAATGATCCAAAACCCCTTATCAAAACCGTAGAAGGCCAAAAGATACTAAAACCTGAAGATAAGTACACAGAAGCTGATATGAGAATGCTTAATCCAATGTTAAAGCCACAAATATGTTGTACTATGCCTTGGATGCCAATGAGTTCAATAGAATTTCTACAAATAAGACAACAAAAGAAGTTTGGGATAAACTCATAGTGACTCATGAGGGAATAGACAAAGTTAAAGAGTCTAAAGTTACCTTGTTAGTCCATAATTATGAGCTCTTTAGTTATTCAAATGTTTACTCGTTTTACTGATATTATAAATGGTTTATCTCTCTTGGTAAAATATATACTAATGCTGAAATTGTAAGAAAGTGCTCAGGACATTACCAAAGAGTTAGGAGAGAAAAGTCATTGCCATCACAGCAGCCAAGGACTTATCAAAGCTAAGTCTAAACGAGCTAATGAGATCTTTTCTCACACATAAGCTCATCATGAAATAAAAAGATGAAGAAGAAGACAACAAGAAAAAGAAGGGAATAGCTTTCAAACCACTACTACTCATGAAAAGGATTATGAAGATAATTCATAATTTGATGATGAAGAAATAACATTCTTAACAAAAAAGTTCCAGAAATTTATGAAAAAGAATCAAAGAGAAAGAAGATTTTTCAAATGAGATATTAACAAAGGAGAATATAATAGAAAATATTTTACAAAAGCAAAAAAATAATAAGAAAACTAAAATCACTTGTTATGAGTGTAACAAGCCTGATCACATCAAGGCCAATTGTTTGGAAATCAAGAAACAATACAAGAAAGACAAAAGAAGAGCCATGACTGTTGCATGGAGAGATAGCAACGAAAGTGACTTAGAAAATGATGATAGCAACCATGAAGTTGCCAACCTATGCCTAATGGAATTTGGAGATGATGATGAGGTAAACAATGAGTCTTATTCTTTTGATGAATTACAATTCGTATTTGAAGAATTGCATGATGAATTTCGAAAACTTGGCACTAAAAATATTGCTCTTAAAAAATTGCTTTCAAGTTCAACCAAAAAAAAAAGAATCTTTATCTAATAAAATTGAAGTATTACAAAAAAAATATAAATAAATAAAAGAAGAAAATTAAATTTTAAAATAAAAAGAATCCCTTATTTTACAAAAGGAATTAAATGATTTCAAAATTGAAAATGATTCTTTAAAAAATGGATAAAGTTGTTTTAAACGAAAATATAGAAGATTTAAAAACATTCTTTCAAAATTCACTCAAGGAAGAGACACTTCAAATAAGCTTCTTAAAAGTCAAAATTATACCTTTGGTAGAGCTAGAATTGGGTATAAACCTTTTTCAAAAGGAAAAACTTTCAAAAATAGTTTTATTCATACATCTTCTAGACACTCACATCTTACGCATCATTTTTGTGGTAAAAAATGTCATATTTCACCTTCATGTCCTGTTAAAAGAAATCCTTTTGCTATTGCTTTCAATGGTAGACTGGGAAAGAAGGAAAGCGAGCTAGACAAAAGCCTAGAGTAGGCCAGGGGTAAAGGCCTTAATCTGATAATTCATTTGTTAATGTTAAGTTTATCATTTTAGGGTACTTGTACGATAATATCTATAGGTCTATCATATTCTCATAATAGCCACCTAGTTTCAATAACAGTAGGGCTAACTAGAGATCTTTCCTTGACTAGATAGAGATAGATAGGAATATCACAGTACAATAAGACTTTCCTTTAATAACATGCTAACGAGTGTAATAGCTAAAGAAGGGCATAAGGAATAAGTTTCATACTGAGCATATGAGGGATACCGACCTTGGCTAAGAGGCCTAATATGGCTACTTTTTCTATCCTAGTGTAAAGACAATTCAAAGGTGTCAAATTCTAACTTTTACGAACCTAAGAAAATATGAGTACCAATAGAAAAATCAAGTTTTTGTAGGTATGTTTCAAGAAAAAATTCAGTAACGATAGATGGTATCTTGATAGTGCATGTTCGAGGCACATGACCAGAGATAAAGCTACGTAACCTTTGACGAAAATAGTAAAGGAAAAATCATTGGTGTAAGCATGGTGAGATTGTCGACGGCTAGATCTTTAGATTTTGAGATCGAGTTTTTGTGAGATCTTCACTGATTAGATTTTCAAATATATGAGATCGTGTATATATGGATCAGATTTTCATATATATGATATATGTATATATATATATCTGTGTGTGTGTGTGTGTGAAAGGGCAATATAGTCAATAAAAAAGAGGAAAAATTGTGGTGTGTCCTTCCTGAGCTACTCTCCTCTTTCTCAAGGACTTTTTGAAACTAGATTAGTTAAGTTGTCTTTTATCCTAGAAAAAAGACAAAAAAGAGGGGTTTCGCTAGAAATCCCTTCTATCTAATTACGCTCCAAAATTTTCAAAAAAAATTTATTATAATTTTATCCCTAACTAAAATTACTAAAAACCTCTTAAACCATAAAAATTCAAACCCTAATTTCTAATTTCACCCGCCATTTTTTCAATCCCTTTCACCGGACCACATCCATTACCACTTGTCGTTGCCCGCCTCCGCTGCCACCCGCTTTGCCAACATCCGAGCCCCTTCTTCCCTCCCCACTACCACTACCACCTTCTCTTCTTCTCATTCTTCTTTATTCTTCTTCTTCTTCTTCTTCTCCTATTCCAAACTCTTCTCATTTTTCTTTATTCTTTTTCATCTCCTTCTATTCCAAACCCTAGATCTGAAACCTCTCTCTCTCTCTCTCTCTCTCTCACACACACACACACACACACACACACGAGAGGCAACTGTGGGGGTTCCATTTGAAGCAAAGAAGATGATATAGGTTGCTGGCATAGGGATTTCAAAAGAGGGTCGTGGCATCGGGAGTGACTGGAAAAGAGATTGCGGCGATGGCTATGGTCGAGATGGTAACTGGAATTATTTATCAGAAGAATGCCAAATTTGAAGCCTTTAAAAAACAAAACTTCGTTGCAGTGTGAATTGCACAAGTTCCTGCTTCTAGTCCATGTAAGGGCACCATACAAAATGGCTTTGGTCTCAAACTATTAAAAGTAAAAAGAAAAAGAAAAAAACAAAAGATTCTGTTACACACACAAGTTTTTGGTCAACATACATTATCAGATTCCTAAAGCGGTTAATGTGGACTTGAATTATCATTTTGTTTCGAAAGGTAATTAATTGATCAGCTAAATATCACAACTACCTTAAATATCAATCATAACTGACTTCTCAGAACTGCTGGTAAGTCGAGCATTTTCTTGAATATGATATCTCTCTCTCTCTCTCTCTCTCTCTCTCTCTCTCTCTCTCTCTCTCACACACACACACACACACAAACACAAAATAGATAAACACATAAAAAAATATATATACTGTTACTCGTTCTCCTTTAAACCCATTGGCATGGTTTTGAATGCTGCCAACACCACAACCACTTTACATCCAAGAAATCCTAGCATCCCAAACATGACTTCTTTCGGTGTTAACACCATGCCACCACTGTCTCCAGAACCATATTACACTGCAATAGTAGCAAATACAAAAGCTAATACTAGGCTTGAAACTAGACCCCTAAATCTTCCGAACATTTGAGAAAATTTCCCTCTTCTGTTTATTGATGCTGATGATGCAGAAGAAGCTGGTAATCCATCAATGGACCTCTACAGCAATAATAGATATAAACCAATCCCACAACCTAAGAACGCAAATGCAGCATTTTTCCCAACTGAAAAGAATGCAATTGATGAGCCAACAAGTACAAGCAAACTATCATTAAGTAACAAAGAATACTTCAAATCCGCATACTCTCTCATGCTTTCTTCATTTGTTATTCCACTGTCACTCACAATTGATGTAGGTTGCAAGAGGTACTCACTTAACAAGGTCAAGTTGTCCCAAGAAAACTCTCTAACTAGGCAAGGCCTCAGTTTCGGAATGGAAATGTCACTTCCCTCACAGAGAAAGGTATCCTCAACCTCAAATCTGTATTCAAAACCAATATATTGAATTTCTTTTCCGCCATTTTCTCTTGATGTTGGTTGATACAGGAAAGTGACAATTAAGCTAACATCTCCTAGTCTCCACTGACCTGACATTGGTGAAAGGAAGAGAGAGAGAGAGAGAGAGAGAGAGAGAGAGAGAGAGAGAAATACAAAAGAATGCTTAAAATTTCAAAAGGCCAAGATAACTTATGTTAAACTCTAATCTCTTACTTCTCAACAAGGCTTGTCTTTGTTAAATAAAGTGTTTGAAATTGGAGCTGGTTGTTCAATCCACATTGTCTACAATACTAGAGCAATCCAACTAATGGTATTGAAAGGATTTGCCAATGCAGATATACCTTGTTGGGGTTTTTTATTTATTTGTTTGTTTTCCCTTTATAATTATTGCCTATAGAGCTCAAGAATATATATATATATATATATATAATAAATGCATTTAGACCCTTGAAAGTGTTTGTTTGACAGTCCTGGAATTCTCTATTATCCTGAGCTAGGCCTATAACCAGCTAGATATCTGGCTTGCATTGAATTGAAATTTGAAACACATTGCTTCACGAAGAGACTAACCTGATTCAAGACTGATCCATAGAGCTTCAACTTGCCCTAGTTTAGGTCCCTCAAAGGCGAACTCACCAACAGAACCCCTTTGATAATGGAGTACATCAGAAACAATCTTGTCCTCTAATTGATTAGAATGTTCTTTAATCATACTCGCCGGTATCCTTTGTAAGATGGAGTCACCATTTTCATCTATCAAACAAAGTAGTATGCCAACATTTAAATCACTAAGACCTGATCCATAGATATTACTTGTATGTAGCTTGACTTTGTATAAACACTTGCATCCCCTCACTTTGAAAGATGTAAGTATCTTCTCCAGTGAAGAATCTGCACAAACTTCAGGTTCTGTAGCTAGCAATAGACGTGAAGGTTTTGCATAGCTCTGAAAATCTGAATCAGAAAGTAGTATATTACTGAAAATGAGTGGCAATTCAATGATGAAAAAAATCAACAAATTTTGCAAAATCTAAAATAGGAAAAATACAGAAATAAATAATTTATATGTGCCAATGCTAGTTAATTACATTAAGCATAGTGCGGTGCTTGGATGAACACGGTGACCCCAAGAATGTTCCCTTTTATTTCCACGCAACCATGGAATTTTGGAGTCCAGAACTGTAACCTGCTATAGATACCTAGGTCGTCAATGAATCAAATATGATTTAGGTTGTGTTAAAAAGCAATTTCAAGCCAAAAGATACAAGGACAAGGAGTTATGCATACATCTCTCTGTCTCTGTCTCTCTCTCTTTCATAAATTATAGTCTTTCATGCTCATTAACTGTTCTCTCATCATAAATTATAGTCTTTCACGCTCATTAACTGTCACATGGTCCCATTTTGATTTTAAAAGCAAAAGTTGTTCAGGTTGATAACATCTCTAAAGTTAGTTTCTATTCCACAGAACATGGTCAAGAAAAAAGGATCAATGACTTGATGCAAAAATAAAGGATAAATGTTGAAGTACAATAAGTTTCTTAACATATCCAACAAATCTAGATCAAGACCGAATGCCAATAGAAATGACAAAGCACCAACGGAATTGTGCCTAGAAAAGGTGAATAGGCCAATTTTAATAGTTGATGCTAATTATGAAATTACCCAAATGATTAATTGATTTCATGCCAATAAAAAACACAATCATTAACCAATCAATTAATCAAGCTAACAATATGGAAATTAAACAATCTAATCCATGAATTCACCCATTGAGTCATTTAATCAACACATAGCAATCAATCATGAGAGTCAAGAATTTACGTGGAATGGAAAGCCTATGAGATAACTCTCTCAAGGGATGAAAACCACAATCCCAACACCCTCAACAAATCCACTAATGAATCAGACAGTTAAAAGACTCAAGTTTAAGGAAATACAACCCCTACCCAAGTTTACCTCACCATTGAGTTCACCATTGAGTTCACCACAAGCTTCAACAAGCTTGATCCCCAGTCCAAAATGGCTTTGACAATGTCAACCTTCATTGATTGAATAGCAATCACGAAGCTCCTCACTCCAATCTCTGCCTTCAACAGCTCCAATGATTAAGAAAAGATGTTTGAAAGTTTTGATGTGTATAGAATCGATCTAGGTAGAACAATTCATTTCAAACCATATTTCAAAGATTTATATTCCAGAGCAAATAAGATTCATCAATGAAGTCTGGATGAACAAGCTATGAAGCTTGTAGAGAGAGAGAGAGAAAATAGATCTCAGAAATGTATAACCATCTATCATATATGGAAATGATGAAATCTGACATTTTAAGACAATTCAAGGGCAAAATGGTCACAAAATAAACCACAAGTACGCCAACAACGCTCGAGCTTCTTGAGCCTAGGTCAGGCACTTGTCAAGCACTATCCCCAGCATCTCAAGCACTCGAGCTCTTGTCAAGTGCGCATCAAGCCCTGCTTCCAAGATCTCAGGCGCTTGAGCTCTTGTCAAGCTCAAATCAAGCATGAGGGACTTGAAGTACAATTAAGTAAAATCCTAGAAATGGCTTAGTGCCTAAAAATGAGAGAGACACAAACAATGTTATGCACGGGTTCAAACCGAGTCATATAGCTTTCAAGTAATGCAATCGCTGCAACATTTTTCAAAGAGAATCTCTCAAAGTGGTGAACTCAATCACTCTAAGACACTAAAAATATTGCCAACCCAAACACCCCCAGATTACGGACTCCAAATGTTTTGGTTAACGGAAATCCTAACAAACGCTTAGACAAACACTAGAATATATTGACGCGGATGCGTTATGCAATATAATAAATGCTTTTTGGTTTTGGTATTTCTCCAACAACATGTTGTATACTGTAGTAATTTCCAAAGCATACACTCATAGTGGTGACATATCTGAAACAAAACAATAACCTTAAACTATTTGAAATCACCCATTTAAAAGCACTAACAACAAGCCTATGTTTACACTTCGGGAAAACAGAAGTTAAGGCTTGGTGATTTCCACCGGTCGTTATAGATCACATCTCTTGTATTTACCTGCTTAGTAACCCCTACAATTATAATCACTATCATTTGGTTTTTAGGTTGTTTTGGGAACTAGTTATTTTAGTTGGCTTTTTGACTTTTTGGCTTTTTACGAAAAGAGGTGCAAAAAATAAAGAGAAGAGTTGACTTTTTGGAAGTGACTTTTTCGAAGTGACTTTTTGGCTATTTTAGTATGTTCCCAAACTATTTATATAAAAGACTAGTGTAAGTAAGTCCAATAGACTAGGTTGTGAATGTATAATCATAAGAACAAAGAAGAAAAGTGAAGCATATTTTTCATTTATTTTCTATTTCTTCTTCCTATTTTTCGTTGTTGTTGTTGTTTTTACATTTCTTTAATTATTATCATATCTTTGGAAATATAACTTAGGGGCTGCTGATTGGTGCAAAGGGAAACACTAAGGCTATCATATATACTAACGTGATTTGAGTCTAAAACTTATTCATGAAGCAGGGTTAGGGGTAGGGCACATAGAAGAGTCTAAGATAGGGAGTGTTTAGTGGAGCATTAATAAATAGTGTTAGGCAGCCCCCTTAACTATCTGTTGATTATTTCCTTATTTGTACATTTGCAAATATTCTATTACATATATTTAGGCCTAGATTTAGGATTACATTTGATTATGATTACACCTAATTTCTATAATGCCTTTTTTATACTCATTCCAACAGCTATATACCTCTATTGAGATGAATACAATGACTGAATTCTCAAATCCTCACAAGTATTATGTAAAAATTATTTTTGTTGCTTAGTCGTAATATTTATGTTAAATGCCTCTAACACATGACCGTTTACACTGATAACAGAAGCATAGTAAATATTTGCAAATCAAGCGACCCCTTTGCCAGGGAAGATCAAGACTCCACAATTTCATCTTTTATATTTTGTTTTGTAATTTGCAAAAGGATTGTATTTAATTTAGTATAACGTTTGATGGTGATCAATTTGTTGGCTCTTAATGGGTGGTTATTCTACTATATATAAGCTTGTCATTATAAGGGTTTTGGTTCTATGTGATGAAATGAGCAATAATTCCCTTTTTACAATCGATTGAATTTTTATTTATTGTTTGAACACATTTATTGATATTTGTTACGGATTAATAACACATGTAAGACATAATACGTTAATCTCTAACGTTTTTTTTATTATTATAAATTTATATATATTGATGAGCTGAATACGAAAGGCAAAAGATTCTCTCACATTATAGAGCAAAATATAGAGCAATGAAAACATATCCAAATTATAGAGTAAAACATGATTCAATTACAAATATATGCAATATTCAAGGATTGCTTCATGGATCCAAGGAGTTCATTTTGTTTAAAAAATAAAAAATAAAGAAGTTAATTTGTTTTAACTGTCTTAAAAAAAAAAGTTCAAACAATAGATACATTAGTTCAAATGATAAATTTTATGCTGCTTATGTAGTGTGAAATAAATCTTATGTGAAATTATTAAGATATTATCTATAATAACATTAATTTTAGAGATATGGTTTCTTTTAAAGTATTTTATCAATGAAAATTATATTTTTTTGGTTAAATATTTTTATAATATCTTAACAATTTAGATTTTTTTTTTTAAATATTGTATAGAATTTAATAATTTTGTTCAACATTACTAAACTATGCATGGGACTTTGTTAATTTTTTTATTTTTATTTTTTATTTTTTTTTTGTAAAACCTCAAGGAGATGAGTGAAATTTACTATTTGAATATGTAAGGGCAATATTGAGATTTCTGACTCATAATACATGGCATAAGCATATTCTGTGAAATAAACTAACAGACAATTAGCGGTGAAGAATCTTAATAATAGTTTAAAAGTAAAAGAGATTAGTGTTATTATTGAAATCACAGTTAGTTGTCAGAAACTTAAAGGAGAGGGCAGGTAAGTGTAATTTACCCAATTCTTAAAAATCCCTAAACTTCAAACATGATCCACATGCATCTATCTCATCATCAATAAGCAATTTTAACCATTATTTGGCAATCCAATGCCACCAATTTTAACCATGTTGTTGTGTGTTGCAAAAATCAGATGCCTCATCGAAAGTGATTCCATTCCCCTACAAATTCTTCACTTCAAACTATGGAATATGCTGAACAGAGAGGGACATAGAATAATATATGATTGAGAATATATATTTATTTTTTTTTATTTTTTAAATCATATAAAAAAATATTAACCTACATTTTTAGAAAGAGAATTATATGTAATTGAGAATTGGGAAAAAAAATTATCAACATATGAGAGGTGCAAGTGTACTTGCATTTACAGTCTTTTATTTGTATTCCATTACAGACACACTTGCACCTGTATGTGTTGTTAATTTTTTTTCTCTCTTTTTACCTGCATGTAATTCTTTCTTTTTTAAATATGTATTAAGTAGAAGTTTAATGACTCATAGATAAAAGTTAAAATTTGAAAATAAAATATGATTGAGAAAATATAAAATAATATATATTTTCTTACATACGAATAAACAAGTAATGTAAATTGTCAGGAAAAAAATAAATCCATTTATTTCAGCTTTTTAAAAAAAATCAAATAATAAATGAGTATTTAAAATGATAAATTTTACATCATTTATGTAGTGTGAAATAAGTCTTATATTAAATTATTAGAATGTTATCTAACATTAATTTTAGAGAGATTGTTTATTTTTAAATATTTTATCAATAGAAATTATTATTATTTTTTTCATTAAATGATTTAATAATGCCTTAACAATTTAAGGCTTTATTTAATATTACATGAAATTTAAGAATTTTATTAAATAATGCAAAAATGTGTATGGGTCTTTGATAATATATATGCAAAACTTTAGGGGAGGTGAGTGAAATTTCTCATTTGAATAGATAAGGTAAATAATGGACAATTTCGTCATTTTTGGTATTATACTCTATAACATTAGTATGACATCAACAAATTCTGCAGTAGCCTAACATAGGGTAACAGTGGGAGAATCCTAATAATAATTTCAAAAGCAATGGAGGTTAGGGTAATTATTGAAACCACAGGGAAGGTAAGTGGGGCCAGCCATTCGGAATAGGCATAGGACCAACTCCCTGGGCATTCTACTGATTCTGAAGGTTCTAGTTTTGAAGATCTTGATTCTGAAAGTTTTGAGAGTTCTAGCTGTCTCTAATTTCTAATGGCTGAAACCTAGGAGGTTGACCCCAAGTTCAACACCTTGCGCCCTTAAGAATGGGGCTGTTAGAGGAAGATTTCTAAAAAAACTCCAGTAGTGGTTCAAAAGTAGTAAATGATTTGTTTTGTGGATTATGTTCTACAAAGACATTGGTTGGTCTTGTAGGTAAAACTAGACTTGGTGGAGGGGGCACAAAAACCATTTCACCCAAAGTAGCTATCATGTTGGTGATGGCCTTCACCCAAACAGATTGGGACTACCTTATCTCTCATAGTGGATGTAGAGACCCTAATTTTTGGTAATTACGCTTGAAACCCTAAGCTTTAGGTTAATTACATTTTAGTCCCAAATTTCATAAAATTTTACAAAATGGTCCAATAAAGAATAATTTTTATGTATTTTATTTTGTATTATAATTAAATCTTGGAACACCGCTTTATAATTAGAAATACCCTAACACTTGGCTTTTATTTATTTTGTCTCCTAACTTCTAAATTAATTCATACATTCTATTTTTTTTTAGCCTAGTTACAAATTTACTAATTCTTTGAATCCTTATTATTTATTTGAGCAGATAAATAGCTATAAAAATATTTTAAAAAATATATATATTTTTATTATTTATTTTAATTTTTAGTTGAGAAAATTAATAGCAAATTAGTGGGAAAAAATATCTAGATATTTACGAGTTGCTTGGGCATTAAGTTAGAAGGGTATAATGGTCCTTTTAACCCAATTCTTGGCTTATAAAATTGAGAAGCATTGTCTCAATTCTCTCTCACGTTTTTAGCAGCTCAAGGAGAGGGTGAGAGAGGGAGAGTGTGATCAAGGGAAGTAGAGAAGAAGGAAAAAAAGAGAAAAAGAAGGAAAAGTGATTCAAGAAGGTAAGAACACCTCTTCCTCTTGTCTTCTCCAATTCTTTCACCATCCCATCCCATTGTTTAGATGCCTCTTGTGTTGCATATTAGAGGGAAATAGAGCATTTGGTGTGTATAAAAGTGTGGGTTTGAGTTAGTGACATTGTCTTGCAAATCTGTCAAATTAGG